GGCAGGAGCACGACCCTGAAAGGCTCCGTCTGCTTGGAGGGTCCATGTAGATGTCTGGGAAGGTGATGACCCCTCTCTGCCTCCTGATGCCTTGACTTGAAAATAGCACGATGCTCTTCTGAGCAGCGTCAAGGCTGGACGAGGGGACCTTCCAAGGCGCCTTCTTGGGTTACTGGGTTGGGTGTTCATGCTGCCAGGGCACGCGACGTTCCAAACGACACAGATAAGTAACGGAATAAACGAGCGGTAGGATGAGTTAGCCACAGGGAGGAGAGTAATAAGGAAGGATGAAATTTCTGTGCGTGGGGGACTGGACGTGGAACAGACCTTCTCGTTAGCTGGGGTTAACTTTTGGCTCTTCACGTAATTTTACATACTCTTATTAAGTAAAATCCATCGATAGCGTTTCAAACCCGCCGTGATACCTTAGGGAAATTCCGCTGATGGAAACTGTTTGGTGATCTCTTCCCAAGAGAGAAGAAGGTTTTGAAGAGTTTTGAAGAGTTTGAAGAGTTTTGAAGAGCGTTTGAAGAGTTACTGGACGCACTGAGCTGCTCATTTGTGGAAATGAGCAACGTTGACTTTTTGGGGATCTCTGATAGATCCTTAACCTCTTTCACATCTTTTCCCTGACTGAAAGGAATGCCACACGTTTAACTTCAAGGCGTGACCTGTCTGTTGAAAGCTTTCCAGCAGTTCTGCCATCACGGTCAGGTCACGGAAAAACTCCGACTTTATCCAAACAAAACTTTATCCAACTATAACATTTTCTTTTAAGGCATCTTCCAGAGATACCACTTGGGATTTAATTTCTTTAAGGGAAGATTTCATTGGTTTTAATGCTGTTGGTGGGTGATGGCCTCAGGCTAGAAGTGAAGGTGTTTTGGGGTGGGTAGACCTGCTGCTGTTATGTGGGACCTCTCGTAGGTTCACGCTGGAGATCGTTGTCTTGAGGCCCTCTGCCACTACAGCATCCCTGTCCGCAACTCTTGGTGGGCACAGAAGTGGACATTTTGAATGTGACCACTGATTTCTTTCCCAACTAGGGTTATTTTTTAGGGTGGTGGTGAGTTCTGTCTGGGGATGAAGCATCTCAGGGCACCCATCATTTATGAAACATGAGCAGAACTTTGTCAGTGCCCACCAAACGCTGCCCAGGCATTTCATTGCTCTTCACTAGGTTTACCATCAACCTTATGTTTGTTTTGCAGATGAGCCCTGTATGGGAGACAAATCCATCTTCTGCCAGATGGAAGTCCTTGCCCGTTACTGCTCCATCCCGGGCTACAACAAGCTGTGCTGCGAGTCCTGCAGCAAGCGCAGCAGCACCCTCCCACCGCCGTTCCTGACCCAAGCTGCTGAAACCCAAGAGGACGTGATGTTTGATGGGAGCGATCTGCCCCAGGCTTTGATGGTGCCAACTCCTGTAGCGCCCCACTACGCACAGCTCCTGCCTGGCAGAAGTTCTCCGGACAGGCTTCCCTTTGCGGAAGAGGACACAGGTACGCACGTCTCCCCACCCAACGCCAAGCCCAAAGGTGCTGAATTTCCGCAGCGGAGAGCTCCTCAGGCACGGAAGGCTCCCGGGCTCTTTGCTTTGCTCCACCAGTCGCCTGCCAACAGCAGCAGCCTCGGTCCTCGTAACGCCCTTGCGTTGGCAGCAGCTCTTCCTGCAGGGCCAGCTGGTAACACCACAGCGGGTGCCCCTTCTCCGTCGAGAACCTCCAGGAAGAGCGAGAAACACGTTGGGAAGAGCTGGCCTTCGAGGTCCTCCACTGTGGAACGATGAACGCGAATGCCTTGGGGAGGGCAGCCGTTGAAAGAGGCTTCGTTGGGCGCTTTGGGTTTAATTTCCTTCCTTCCGGACGCTCTGGTGCACGCTGCTTTCCACAAGCAGGACACTGCAGGTCATCGACTCCTTTTCCTTGTAAATATGAAGAGCAAGAAGTGCTGGTTCACTTCCTAGTCGCTCCCGTCCTCCTCTCGTGCCGCGTTACCCGGCCAGCTGGAACGCGTTGGAGGAAAGCACCAAAGAATATTCCGAACCGTGAGCGGAAGCTGCCGAGGACATCGGCCAAGCTCCGGTAGGGAAGAGCAGCCCTGACCTCGGCTCTCACCTCGTTACTTCTGGTTGTAAACACTCACCTGTAGAGTACCTACAAGAGGTCCCAAACGTTTACACTAGACAAAACACTTCCACAGTGGGACAACTGAATCCAGAAGACTCGTTTTTTGCTAATTTATCTATAGAAACGGATGTTGTATGAGCGAATTTGCGGCCGTTGTGTAAATACTGTATATTGCAGAAAATCAGTATTATTTTTAAGAGTTTTGTGCTGTCAGACAACTGTTTACCTACGTTGCGCTCCGGACGATTGCCAGGTGCCTGCTGCTGGGTGCTGCCTTATTTCCCTTCCAAGAGCTGATTTTTTGGGCAGCGTTCTCATAGAAGGAGGAGTTCCGTTTTCCCACAAATTGCCCCTCCTGGTGCTTTCTTGGGGGATTGGACTTAGATGATCCTTTGAGGTCCCTTCCAATCCCTGACATTCTGTGATTCTTTGGAAATAGCGTCACCCCAAAGGTCCCAGTCTACTTACAGCCACCCGCCCGTTAAAAGGAGATCCGGAAACTTCAGCGTCTTCCCGGTCACAGGTGGGAAAAACATTTTTCCGTGCCCGCGGAAGGAGCAGCGACCGCCGCCGAGCCGGCGTCGCGTCGGCGTCGGAGAAGCGGTGCCGTCCCAGCCATCTCCTTTTGCCAAAGAGCTCAGCCCAGTGTAGGGCACCATGGACAGACTGGAAGTCCTGTAACCTTCACGAGGCAGAAGCGGGTTCTGTTTTCCAGATGATCCATTTATTTCTGAAGCCAACAAAGCATCACGGAGGTAGAACAGGTGCTCACAAGAAATAGCTGTGGCAAGGCTTAAAATAGATTTTTTTTTTGTTGTTTTCCTACTGGAAACATTGGTCTAAAGGCGAGAGAGATATTTATTTTTCAGCGTGGTTCACCTCAAAATCTCCACAACCACCGTGCATCTGACTGCAATAACGTGTCGAGTAATTTATGGCAATAACCATCTCGTTCCCAGTCCGCCCGGTCGCGCTCTCTCCTGTGTGTCGCTGTAAAGTACTTGTATATAGGATTGAGAACTAAAGATATTTATTAAAAGTTGATTTCCTGATAGTATTTTATGTACTAAATATTTACACGAAGGGCAGTCGACTATTCTTTTTGCCAAGATAAAATAGAGAGATGTCATTAGATACCTGGAAATGCCTTGTCATACGGATAAAACAGGAATTTTACTAAACTACTGTAGAGAAATCGTCGATCTTATTCTTCAAACACGTACAAAAAAAAAAAGTCTTATGACAGTTTTTTAATCCAGGCATCTGTCATTTCGAAATAGGTTATTAATAAAGTTGCAAGTGCAATTTTTGCTTGCCTGAAAAAAGTCCTCATCATCGACCCATTCAAAAGGACAGTGAATTTGTATCTCTAAAACGCTCTAAAGTAGATCAGGACCCCAAAGATGAAACCCTGGGAACATCTGTAGTGATTCTCTGGAATCACTAGGAAGAAATCAGGATGAAAATTGTTGTCAGGAGTCAATGAGGATGTGGGTCACCCTTGGCAAGACGCCTCTTGCGTCGCGACGTGCATGACCTGACCCACCGGAGTACTGACACCTCTGAAGAATTGCTGCTCCCTGCCCGCAGGGCTTTGAAGGTCCCCCAAATCCGTGTTAACGCAGGTGGTGGGACAACCCCTGAGCCTCAAACAGACCAACAGGGTGTGGGTTTTTCCTTCCAACTTCCCCAAAAGTCACGTTGTCTTTTCTCTCTCTCTTTTACGTATACACAACGTGGGTGTAGATATTCCTTGTACCTCTTGGGTTCCTTCTCTCCCAAGCTCATTCCTCTTCCTGTAAAGTGTACACTACTGATGCTGTTTGTTGTACTGGGGGAGCACGTAGCAATAAAATCTTGAACACAACACGTCTTGCTCTGCTTTGATTCACGTGGCAGAGTCTGGTTTTTCCTTTTTAAATGTCACCTTTGGCAAAATGCGGGGCCGTTGGCATCCCAGGCAGGACCTGTAGCGTCTTGGAAAAAAGTTCATTGGAATTCAATATTTAAGTTGATTTTTAAAAGCAGAGGTCCTGCTTTAACCCTTGGAGAGCGCGGGCTGCAGAGAAATCGGGGGAAAGCAAAGCAAGGAGCATGTTTCCAGTGATCCAAACACATCCTGGTCCATCCCTGCTCCCATCCAGGGAGCAGCTCCAACCCTTTTGACAGCAACACGTAACATTTTGGGCTTTGTTTTTTGGGAAGGGGTGTCTAAGGGCCTCCCTGCCAGTTGAGCAGGAGGCAGCCGCTCTTCTCTCCTTTACCTGGAAAAGGTTTGTGAGCGGATGAGAGGATTTCAGGTCTGCACCAGACACTAAAAACAAACCAAAAAACCCACCTTTGCCCATCTTAGTTCAGTACAAGTGATGTTTTAGAAGGCGTTCTGGCCTTCTGGTCCATCTATCTTCACCTGAGGTTTGGAGACCACCCACACCAAAACACATCCATAGCTTTCGTTTGGTGAGTACAGGCTTCCTTCCAGCTGTAGCTGGTGTTGACCCAAAGTCACACCTTCCCTGTGACCACAGGACGGTGGGGCACGGGGGCGAGTGGGGACACTCGTGTCGTAGTGCCCCACGGCCCGAGGGACGTCGCTCTGGCACCACTCCAAAAAGCTGATGACAATTTTTCTGCAGTTCTGGTTGCCCATTTTCAAGAACAGTAGATCTGGGCTGGAACTTCTAGAGAAGAAAGCTGGGGAGGGACTTTTGACAAGGGTATGTAGTGATAGGACAAGGGGCGATGGATTTAAACTGAAAGAGGGTGGATTTTGATTAGATCCAAGGAAGAAATTCTTCCCTCTGAGGGTGATGAGGCACTGGAACAGGTTGCCCAGAGAAACTGTGGCTGCCCCATCCCTGGAAGTGTTCCAGGCCAGGTGGGATGAGGCTTTGAGCAACCTGGTCTGGTGGAAGGGGTCGGAACAAGATGATCTTGAATGTCCCTTCCAACCCAAACCATTCTGTGATAATCTGGCAAGAGAACAGGGAGGTCTTCATCTCAGAGGGTAGAGTTTAGAGAAACTTCAGAGTTTTAACCCAAAAGAGGTTAAAGAGAGGCCAAGGGAGAGATCCAGTTGCCACACGTACACACATGGCGAATATGAACAAGTCAGGATGCAGATGCCAGCAAGGAGTGTCCTCTGTCCCACGTGTCCCACCAGCATACGTCTGCTGGCAGGGAACCTCGTGTCCAGCCTGGCTGAGGACACACCAGTTCCACCAGCGCAGCCGTAGCAGAGCGATGAGCCATCACTGGTCCCATCACCGGCAGACCCACCGAGCGGTCACCAACCTGCAGAAGCGGCACAGCCGCTGCCTCCACCACGGACACGTACGGTGGGGCATCACCTTCTGGAGCAGTGCTTTGCACTGGAGTTTGCCAGTAGTATTTCGGTATTTGGGCTGTGATTAGTGATTTTAATGCCAAGCGATGTCATGAAAAACGCTGAATTACTTAAAAAAAAAAAAAAAGCAGGACAGAAAATTAAGACTAAGAGGCCAAATTTCCAACCCAATGCATTGAGAGGAGAAGTTGGTATCACTCCGTTTGGCTTCTGGCAGGGGCTAAACCTCTGTCTTACTACGTTCTGCCAAGACTTACATCCTCTGAGTATGTCTTTGACGGTTTTAAGCTGGGCAAGTAAATCTGGAGTAAGTGTCTAGTTGAATTCCAGTGCTCCTAAAGAGCACAAACACTAACGTTTCATAGCAAGAGACTTAAAAAAATCCTAAGATCCACCTAAGCACCACTGGAAAG